ATTTCGTACGTATTTTTTTATTTCTCGTGTGTGCTGTAATACATTCAAAGACACAGATTTACTTACAATTAGACAATTGAAACGAACGCGGGACTTAACCTCTTGCGCTGAAATGACGCCCGAAAAATTCACGCACGTCGAGAATTTTTCATCCCAAAATTGCAACATTCTCTCAGTTTCAAATATATTGAAGTGTAACCCAGGCAAAACAAATGATACATTTGTTACTTGTTAATAATTTCAATCCAGTGATATCATACCGACGAGTTCAAAAGAAAAAGAACTTACCATAAACAAATAATAATTACCTGGATCCCGTCACACAAAGGAATAGAAGGAAACGAAAAAGCCGACTCCTTAGACAAAGAAGCAACAACAGACCGAACAAAAGAAGCCAACATCCCAGTCCCACACCAAGACCTACTAGCTTCAACGACTAAAGCGGAAAGAGAAGAATGGAACAGACAAATAGAACCAAAATACACGACATAGCACACCATTTCAAAAAATACCAAACAACAATATAAGCAGAGAAGAAAGGATAGCTATGACTAGACTTCGAATACTCCAACATCACACACGAATATACCTCCTAAACAAAACAGAACCACACCTTTCTGCAACACCTGCAACCAACAAATCACCATCCAACACCTGCTACATGAATGCAGAAAATACCGAAACCTAAGAAATAAATACGGATTAAACTCAAACACCGCTCTAACCTGCCAGAAACAACAAAAAAACGTTATCAACTACCTAAAAGGAGACCCAACTACTAGACCAGACATAAAGAGAAAATTCCAGCACGTTGCTAAAGACCTCGTAGTCGATGCGACTCTAAACCCCCATATAAAAAAAGAAAAAAAAAAAAGAAAGCGACGAATTATCGTATACGTTACGGTACCAATGTATTTAACTAGAATATACTAGGTTATATTAGGCATAACATGGGTTATGTTATAACATATTATATATTACAACACAACATGTTATAATAAGTAAAATTATATATTTAAGCAAAACAAAATAGGCAAAACAAATAATAAATTTATTACTTCTCAGTAATTTCTATCCAGTGACCGACATTATATTACCGACGAGTTCAAAAGAAAGAAAAAGCGACGAATAATACGGTTCGGTCACTCGTTACGGTCCGCGAATCAGCCGCCAGCGCAAGGGGTTAAATGAAATTTCCTATTCTTCAAGCTCGTGTTGGAAAGATTTTGGTTAGACGAAAAAGGAAGTGAATCAATAATTTTCAAGCACCAAGTTTTCGACTTCAAGGTTCGTATATTTATGAGAAATGAAATTTTTATATACAGATATGAACAGAGAATACATTTCGAGACTAGCCTACACGTTACATACAATCAACTGTATTTGCGGTTTTCGTAAGTGTGTGTGTGTTTGTGTGTGTGTGTGTGTGTGCGATGATACAAGTTCACATGTACGCGTCGTTATTATACATACATATTTATAGATACAGGTGCATATATCGCAGACGAGATTATTACAAACATTTTGTCAATTTTGCAATCGTTCATCCTTCTTCTTCTTCTTCTTCTTCTTCTTCTTTCATGCTTCGGTAATTTTTACAACGTCTTCGTCGTTCGTTAATTATCTTTTATTAGATGTAACGCAAACAAAAAGGGAAGCGAGAACGGTAAGCGCCTATTTTAATTTAACAAGTGACAACCTCTTTGATTCGCTCAAACGAACACGCAACCTGTTGTGTGCTATCATGAGTGCTGTTATACAGTTATAGCACCGTGTATAACCCTACGAAGTATAATATAATCCATCCGAGCTCTTAGCTAAACGAAACGTTCCTTCCTACGCGAGACAAAAATCGCTAATCCTAATCGCCCCCCATCAGCGTGTAAAATAATTCATTAAAAAATATATATATATATTTATATATATATCACACGACATGAAGATTGGACAAATTCTTTGTAACAATCCACACGCATACGTATGTACATTTACGATCGCCTGATTCGTTGACTATCGTGTTACAGACACCGTAATAATTAACGACTATCGGGAAAAAATAGCTACCTACATACGCAGACGATTTTGCAAACGCGTTCATTTGCACAAAAATCATCAGACAGCCGTACGTTTGTCATTGACAAACTTTTCCAACGCTCCGACGTGTCGTACCTTTCGTACCGTGCCGCTTTCTACAGATAATACAATACTTGTATACTTGTCCGCGACTAGTTTCCGACTAGCCTCCGTTTAATTAACATTCACCGCGTTCATCTAGATATCGTTTATCATATAACAGCGTCCTACTTTCTTCGTTCGCCTGTTCGGACGTCCCGAGCTACCAGCCGTGTAATTATTTTCACGATTTTCTACGTTTTCAGAACGCTAATTACATTTCTTTTTTTTTCTTTTTTTTTTTTTTTTTTTGTTAACATCGGACGAATTACACGTAGACGATTATTCTTACAGATATATATACGCCAGCCGCTTGATACAGTTTCTCCGTAACTTTGTTTCGTTATCTGCGTCTCGAGAATAACGTTCCGAGCTCCATTCTTCGACTAGATTTACACTCTTTTATTCTAAACGAGTAGAATAAATTTAAGAAACTGAAGGAAAAAGAAAAGCAACGTTGCAGACGTCGGTGACTCAAAAATCATAGTGATTCGACAGTTTCTTTTAATTATTTCGGGCTAAACTCTGAACTTTTCTCCCTTTAATTTAAAAATTGAAAATTAGAAATTTTCGAATTTCTAATGTTTCTTTTTCAATTACTTTGGGTTGAATCTTTAATCTTTAATTTCTTAATTTTTACACTGCCTTTTGCAAAACTTACCACTGCCATTTTGAATCATCGTGGCGTAACTGCGATTAAAAAAGAATATTAAAAATGTATCTACGCTATAGTGCAACGGTACTTGCATAATCTTTCACGCCGCAGAAAAACACCAACGTCGATATTGCGAGAAAATGATTCGTCGTTAAATACATTGTACAAAAAGAAGTGTGTCACAGATTTTTACACTCTCGAGCAAAAACTGAAGATATTTCCCGGTAAGAAAGAAATATTCGATGGACATGGAGCTTCGATCAACTACGAATTCGCAATCGCTATATGTTCCCGTTATTATGTGATACACGTTATTACAGTACATTTTGTATAATAGCGAATACATTCTTACTCTCCGACTAGATACAATTGCTATGGGTTTGGCAATGATCGCTATGCTGTCCGACTAGTGACTAGAAGCAACTCCTTGTGCACACGCGCGCGTGCAATCATGTTCATCAGAAAATTGAAACGCTTTCGCCAGTGAATTTTCTTATTTAATTATCAAGGATCCCTTTTGCTTATATCTTTATAAAATATATTATTAAAATATATATATATATATATATATATATAGTTCCATTTGATAGAAACGATCAAACTTCACTCTATTGAAAAACATACCAATTAACAAATGGAACACGGATATTTATGCAAATTCGCACTTTCTTGAATAGAATTGAAAAAAAAAAAAAAGAAATTCGTTTCACCCGGCTAAATGTTATTTAATACGAATAAGTGTGAAATTTTCCACAAAATTCCATAAAAATTTACAGCCTAGTAAACGACAAACTGGTTCGAAACTCTTGACAAGTCTCTCTCTAGAATTGAAATTAAAAATTAGAAATTAGAAAGACGCGGTATTGCGGAGGGTGGGCTCTTTTGATTTTTCAGTTTTTCGCGACCCGCGAAATCTAATTTTTGCACGATTAGAGACCATCCACTTAGCTTAGGGTGGTATTACTTACGAGCCTATAGGTTTAAAAGTAATCAACAAGAATACTTGTCGATGACCCTGTCGACTAGGTACATACTAATTTCATCGTCTTAACTATCTTTGATTCAGCTGTATGATCACGATCCGCCCGGTTCTCACCGAGCTCGATCGGTGAAGGTTAATTTAAATGCCTACACCTATTACCGAGGGATTACTTAAATGCAGAGTAACATACGTTCACTTATTATAGCCTAAGATGAAAGGTGAATCGTCAACCGGGTTTGGGTAAAATGTCACAACACAGATAAATTGTGCCAGCCCAGGTATATATATGTACACGCGCTGCCGGATTTATAGCCGTACATCTCCCTACTATCTACACATTTACAATTTTACGTTTACGCCAACGTGCAACGTCGCATCAAACACCGCTCGTTTCGCTAATTTTAATTCTATGCAAATTTACAGTTCCAGCTCGCTCCCCTCCCTTCGTGTCGTTCGCAAGTACATACGTAAGTAGGTATTTTAACTCCTCCGTTGCAATTACGGCGATTATTGTCTCGAGTTTTGGGGAAAATCAACGTTTCACCGTGAAAATTTTGACTTTGATGATCTCGCCGTCAATCATTCGAGCGAACGGTTGTCCCGTTGTGTCGGTTTTAACCCGCTTGCGCTGGCAGCCGATTGCGGACCGTAACGAGTGACCGCGAATCGTACATACGATAAACCTTCGTCGCTTTCTTCATTCGAACTCGTCGCTACGATGTCACTGGATAGAAATGATCGAGAAGCAATAAATTCATTATCTGTTTTGCCTGGGTTAGTTATACTTGGATATATGCTGAAAACTGAGAGGATACTTTGGCGATTTTGGGTCGTTCCAGCGCAAGAGGTTAAAAGGAACCAGGTTCCTCGGCCACTGCGAAAGTTTCTTCGTCAATGTCCAATACAATTTTGGTAAACTTTCTCGCGTTATGTTAAATATATAGTGATTCTGAAAACTATGAGATACGTGCTGTCTATGTTAATGAATACTTGGAGAAGGTACGCTGTTATTGTATATAGGAAAGATATTAACGCAAAATTGCACTAACGAGACAGAGAGAAATTAAAATTAAAACAGAAAGAGAACAAAAAAATCGTATACTTCGAAAAAGAAACTTAAAAAAAATTGCAAGAACGTTCGAGATTCCCTCGAGAACGAAAAAAGGGAATGGCAAAGAACGAATGCTCGATTTTCGAAAAGTTTTCAAAAGAAACAATTCTATAAGAAACCCTCCACTGGGGGACTCGATCTTTACAAATCAAGACCGAACCTCCAGTAGAGTCCTGGCCTCCTTGGTAAGGGTCTCGCGGGGAACTGGTGTCAGGCGATCTCGGAGTTTAACGTACCCTCGGAAATCACCGGGACGACGTCAGTCTTACCAACAGCTCCCTGCTCCAACGCCACATTGTTGTTGTTGTTGTTGTTGTTGTTGGCGGCCTCTGGATGCTGGCTGGCCAGGTGTTTCCTCAACGCTGCTTGCCTGGTGAACTTGGCGTCGCACCTGGTGCACGGTATCTCGATACTCGCGTTAGACGACGACGACGACGACGACGAGGACGACGAGGACGACGAGTGTTCCCCGTTGGCCAACCTTGGCTTGTGCCAGCGTCTGTGCGAGGCCAGGTTCGCCGGGCACGAGAATCTCTTGTCGCATTCCGGGCATCTGTACTCGACGTGGGCTATCCTGGAGCACCTGTGCTGCGCCAGCTGGAACGCGTCGTCGTGCAGTTGCCTGCAGAGCTTGCACTGATAGGGGCCGAGCCTGTTCTCGATTTTCGCCAGCTCGGCACGCGCCTCCTCGGTGACTTCAACGATGTTGAACGCCGGATCGATGTCTCCGGTGACCACAGCCTCGTCAGGTCCCAGGATCACGGTGCCCGACACCGGGCTGCTGGTGTCCTCGTCGAACTTCAATCGTCTGGCGTGCTTCTTCTTCGGTCTCTGGAGTGCCTTCTCGCTGGAAGTAGATCTGGAGCTGTTGGACGCGGCGTTGTTGCTGGCGGTGGATGCAGGGCTCGAGTCTTCGTCCCTTACTTTCCGCCTTGGGCACTGAGGAGGCGATGGCGTGCTCGGCGGTGTCATGGGCGCGTGCTGCATCCCTTGCAGGTGATGCTGCGGTGTTAGAAGAAGCTGCTGATGGTAGCCTTGTACCGACTGAAGCTGGCTAGGGCTGGCCAACAGGAGCTTCTGATTGTGCGTGTAATAATTAGAAGCGATCTCGTTCGAGGTTGCGCCAAAGGGGATCAGTTTGGTGGCGTCTTCCATCACCAGGCTGTTGTTGCAAGCTTTGACCGTCGATTCCTGGATCGATAGCGGTTCTTTCTTCGAGAGCAGTTCGTAACTGGAATGACTGTGCACCGAGGAACTACGTGGCAGCGCGTCGAAATCGTCGACCACCAGGGAAGAGCCTGACTCGTCGCTGTTCCTTCTGTACCTGGTACTCTCCGATTCTTTCTGCGCATCGTCCAACGTTCTCTGATGCTCCTTCTTCGTGTCGACGACCAGATCCTCGGTTTTCGGCGTACTCGGCGTTGGCGGAGGTTTCAGAGACAAGTCCAGGGGACACGGAGTGGACGATCTGGACAGGTCCCAGGTCTGAAGATGATCAGGGGCCCTCGAGTAGGAGGTCGAGGTGTTCTCCATAGGAATGTGCCAACTGGCGGCCGCGCCGTACGAATGCTGGTGAATCTCGTCGCCGTAGTAGCCCAGATAATTCAGTCCAGGGGCCAGAAATGCCCGTGGCAGCGAACTGTGCAACATACTGACGCTCGTTTCTGCCAAGTCCCTCTCAAACGAACCATATATTCGACGTGCCAACCGTTTCCATTTTACGTTAATTCGCTAGAAGCACTTGGACGCTTGTCGCTAACGTGCACAGCGCACGAGTAGTCTTCCAACGTTCTTCATTTAACAATTCTGCTTCATCGAACAATTTTTCACTTGTGAAAATCTCTCGAGGATCATTTGATAATTCTACGACAGTCGAAACAACGCCTACAACGACGACGACGACAACGACGATGATGATTTACGTTTACTGGTCGTTTTCTCACTGACTGTTCAAACAGATGCTGTTCCTTCGGAATGATTTTCCCTCTCGACGACTCTTTTTTTTTTTTTCTCCTCTCAAGATGATGTACACGAGCACACTGTCTGCTCGCTTGACGGCTGAACGCCGTTTGACAGAAGGACGCGAGCAGAGTGTCTGGTATATTCGAATGCTCCGCCCGGGAGCTGAATTTCCCTTTGCTTCCTATTGGACAACCGATCTCCAGCCTCCTGCCCCCACTATCGGCCACACTTGCCACCACTCCACTGGAATTCTGGCGCGTGCTCGTGTAAACGCTCACCGCCCCGTCGGCTGTCTGACTAATGAATGTAATATCTCCTTCGCCGCCGTACAACGGCCTCCTCTCCACTGGAGAACGACGCCGTTCCTGCCGATTCTTTAATAGAGAATGCCACCCTTTAAGCAAATCCCCCCCCCCTCCCGCCACCTCCGCCACCCCACCGACGTTATTTCCTCCCGAGCGTGCACAGACAGATTCAAAATGGTGAACTTGCTGGAGGTTAATCGTAAGTTTGAGGTGGTTCGCTGGACCTAAGGACCAGGTTCGAGCGAGCTTTAACCACTTGCGCCGGCAGCTGGTTCGCGGACCGTAACGAGCGACCGGATCGTGCACGATAATTCGTCGCTTTTATTTTCTTTCGAACTCGTCGATATGATATCACTGGATAGAAATGATTGAGACGTAACAGGACTTGTCATTCGTTTTGCCTAGGTTGCATTTAAGTATACAAGAAAATTGTGAAAATATTGGGGCAAAAAATTGTCGACGTGGCACGTCGTACCAGCGCAAGAGGCTAATAATTATAATTTAAATTGATGTAACTGTGAAAGAAGGCTCTACTTTGATAGATTTAAGTATAAATTATTAAGTATTTTCACAGTATAAAATTAAATAATTTATTTATTATTATAAATTAAAAGTAAATCTGAATAACTGACATTCAGTTTTCTATATTCGTCAGTTGTACAAACGAACAGTATATCGATAGTAATTTAATCGAAGAGTTAAGAATTAAATCGAAAATCTAATTTAATAATTACACATTTGTAATTTTTATAATAAAACGAATATTTAAATATAAAATGGAACTTGGATCGAAAATTGTTCTACGTACTACGTAGATAATAAAGAAGTATTGTTGCATTAACTTCTTGCGCTAGTAAACTGGTTGACGGACCGTAACGAGACGACCAAACTCGTCTCCTTTTTAAATTCATCGATATTATCACTGGGTAGAAATTACCAAGAAGTAATAAACTTATCGTTCGTTTTGCCTGGGTTACATTTAAATATACTGAAAACTGAGAAAATGTTGCAATTTTCGGACAAGAAATTCTCGACGTGCGTGGCACGTCATTCCAGCGCAGGAGGTTAAAATTTAACAGAGTCATTGACTACGTAGGTCACTTGAAATTGAGTAACCTATCCTAAATTTTTCCGAGTAATCTACGTAGGTGCCAATTTACTATCATAAGATAGTAAATTTACTAAATATTAAATATTATTAATATTATTATTATAATATTATATTAAATATTATTATTAAATCGACAGTCAAATTTATAAATTTTCCAATTTTGTGGTATCACCGTTCTTTTTTTTTTTTTTTATTTTTTACAGTAATTGATCACAATTTGTAGTTTTGTCTGTTTAATTCATAAAAATGTGGAAAATATTTAAAAAAAAAAGAGAGACAGCGTTCGAGAGATTTATCGAATCGCTCAAAATTATCCATCGATAGCGACAACAACTTGCGACAATTTCGCGTTGATTGCTGATTGTCGTCGGTCTTGACGAACGTCTTGACGAGACCTCAACAGACTCTCGTCCAATTACAGTAGCCGATTGTCCAGGCTAAACGGTTCCCAAGGGTGAGGATTAACTGGCAAAATCGGCTGAAGCCACCACACGTTCACACGTAAGTCCATTGACGTCGGCGTAGAAACGGCGGTACCCGGTTGCATGGTGAATCCATCAGCGGCGTGAAATTATTTATGATGATTAATCGAACATACTCCGCCGCTAATTAAGTAAGAAGATCAAGAGATTACGATGCGAAATCACTGGACGCAATAATGACTTTTATTCCTCTGTAACCTTGACGCGTTTACGTTACATTTCAGGTAATACAGTTGATTATTGTTGACTAGAATGGCAATCAAGTTTTTAGTAACAGAGATTTTCCTTTCCCTATATTTAAGATAATTTATCTGTTCCTTTTGTTCTTATAGATAAAATTTCTTACTAGGTTTTCTTACTATATTAGGTTTAACATTGCGCAAGGAAATTGACAACCAGATTTCTCATTTCGGGGAAAAATTCCAGATTAAACGCAGATAGATAAAAGTCTATCTTACTAATAAATTAGGTTTAATACGGATGGATACGAATTTCTTGCTAATGAATTAATCTCGATTTTGCGCAAAGAAATTACTAAGCAAGAGTTAGATTTCTCATTTGGAAAAAATTCCAATTAAATACAGACAGATGAATGTCCATTTATTTCAACAGGAGCGTTCTGCCTGTAAAGCATTAAATATCGAATAAAATTTTAATTCCGTCGTTGTTTTAAAATTGACAGGCTCATAAAATCTGCTTATAAAATATTTTCCAAATACGTCATTGGAATAATCAATATTTTTGTAAGAATAATTTATTTACTCAGAACGAAGCGCACTTTTGCGTTAAGCAGGCATTCAGCATATTTTTATAATGTAATAGTTGTAAAGGTAAAACGTTTTCCATTCTTCTCGACGATCGCTTATTCACTATTTCGATTCTTCTCATTTATGAAAACGTCCCTTCCCATTTTGCTTTCCACCTCGCTTTTCCATTTATTTGTTCGTCTTTTAAATATTTCTTGGTAATAAATAAACGATCGGAACCGACATCCGTGCAGCGTTATTCTTCACGGCGACGTTCAATGCGGGAAAAAAAAAAAGAAAAAAAAAAAGAAAACATTGGAAACACGCGAATCGATTGCGCGTTTCCACTTCCAGGGGCTGAGAGGGAGGAATAAGTTCAAAATTTCATGCCGTACGTAATCATTCTATTGGCTGATGGAATAAAAACAAATGGCAAATGATCCATTATTACGTGCAAACATCGCGTGGACTAATACCGCTTGCGGTAAGCATAAAATATAGGTATTAACGTGGGATAAGTCGGTCGATACGGATTTGCCATGATTATTTGATACTCCGTGAAACATTTTACCACGTGTTGCACTCTCCGCTTTCGACTACGTATGCATAAACGTCTGAAAACACCGTTACGCGTTCGATACTCGAATTACAGAGCGCTAAAACCTCGCTTCTCCATATTCCGCTCGTACATATAACACACACACACACACACACACACATATATATATATATTTATTTACACACCTGAATGGAATCAGTTATTCTGTACGCGAAAATCTGCTTGATAATAGTTCGATATATTTGAATTACACGTGATACATTCCTTACTGAAATTACGACATCCTAGATACTCGTTTCTTATATTCAGCCGAGATTCAGGGGGGCGACGTCAGTAATTCATTTCCCATAATATACACTCACCGTATCCTCTTTACATTAACGAAATCCCCAACTCTCTCTCTCTCTCTCTCTCTCTCTCTCTCTGAAGAGAATCTTTTCCCGAAGCATTTTCTTTCATAAATTCATACACTGTTATAACCTGCTCGAGTGTCCGCGAAACACGTGTAGAGGAAAATACCGAGGAGAGACTGAAGGCGGAGGAGGAACGTAAAGCGACTTGGAGGATAGACAACCTTTTTGCCTGCACGGATGTCGACGAGTGGATCCCGCATCCGCCGGTATTGAGGGAGAACGAGAGGGCGGCTCTGCATATTTGATGCGATTTTAATGTTTCTGCCCGGCATATCCACGTCCTGTGCAGCAATAGCAGCAGGAACAGCAGGCCGCCGCACGAGGCACCACTGACTGCCGTGATGCTCTAATCGGCTTACGCAACAAGCCACCCTTATCCCAAGTTCCCGGCGCAGCGCTCTTGCTTTTGCCCCGAACTGCGTCCTCCAGCCTCCTCCAGCCTCCTCCTTCGAGCGACCAGAGCACCCGTTACTCTGCGGTTCGAATGTGCCCACGATCCTCTTTCCTGCTTACTTTATTCCACCCTTGAAACATACATCAGCATCTCTGTTTCGCTTTTTGGAAAGCCAAGTCACCTCGTCGCGTCCACGTACTTACTTCGTCCCGCTCGTTTTTTCTCATTTGCGTTTAGGTTCCCTTCTTGTTTCATTCGAGCTGTTGCCGGAGGACTTCTTTTTCGAAAAAGTACGAAAGCGATGAATTTTTGAATGTGAAGTAAGATGGAATAGAGTTTGAAGTTGAGCGAGTTGGTGGTCCACGGTGTTCTCTGATGATAAACGATTCTTTTGTTTGTACGTACGATGACAAACGGGGCATCGTCATTTCGAATGGTTTTTTAATGTTAATGTCGTGGATATAGAGAGGCGAGTAAAAGTAGGAAATTCGGAGAATTAATAATAAGTTATATATACAGACGCGTGAATTCCTATATTACCGATTTTACAAATTTATGCTCATGATTATTTCATTACGAAGCGAATACGAACAACGTGCAATATTACACGTTAATATTCCAGTTAGACATTTTAGTTTTGATAGAAAATTATAATGAACGATTTAATCCTAAGGATTAAGTATTATCGACTGAGAGACGAGTTAATTATGTTTTCCATTTTCCATTTTCCATACGCGTAATTGGTTACAGCGTTGGATTATCGGACATTAGGAATTTATTTCGCATTTCCAGAATTCTTGATTAATTTATGCTTTTCTCACTGATATCGAATATTTATTTTGAAATGTTTCAAAATAAAAGTGTGGCAAAATGATGAAAAAAAAAAAAAAAAAGAATATCAAATCAACAAATGTCATTGATATCTCGTCGATGCAGGAATCGAAAAGTGAAATATATAGATGTCAACTAAATATCCCTTTGAAATGAAATGATTTAGATGAGCAGACTGTATGTTTCACATATTGTATGAGAAAGTTGCCCTAGGCAAGGATGCGCATTATTGGCTTGAATTACATTAAACAAACATTTGATATATTGCTCTATCTCTTTTTAGCAATGTTTTTTTTTAATACATATACAGATATGTGCAATTTTAATATCAAACTTTTTTCACTTTTATTTCTTTCGCAATACTACTAAACAATCGAAAATATTTATAAAACAGGTTTATTGTAAAAATTGTATATTGCATCCATTTATTTTGTAATATCATAAAAAACGATCGAAATCTATCGTGTTTATTAGTCTTGATTACTTTTACTTTTATTATCCGGCATGATTAATATTTTAGTTTCGTAACAAATATTTATTTTCAAAAATATGTTTATACAATAAAATTATAAAAATTCTTACACGCTACGTATTATTTCTGTCTATCAAATTTTATATATATATATATACACATAAAAACGAATATTAAATTATAAAAACTTTTTAACAATTTCATTTGTTCGAGGCACTATTATCAATATGCGTAAACACAAAATTCTTTGTATTTATCGACGAGAGTGGTGTTTCCTTTCGTCTGGCTAATGTGGCTAAACGCGACAATGCTTCTTCTCCTTTGGCAAGGAACGAACGTTTTTTCATGACATTCTAAAAAGAATATGTAAATGATAATGAGCATTATATTTTTAATCGTCAATAAACATGTTTCTCGAAATCTTACACGTATCGTACGCGATGTTTCATCCAATTTTGAAGTGTTTAACATTTCCGCAACAGTATGAGATATTTTTGGTTCCGTTTTGGAATCGTCAAGCGTTTCTTCCAGTGTATTTTCCTTCTGTAATTCATTAATTCGCCTTTTCTTTAAAATCTTCAAACCAAATTTAAATATGTGACTATTGTTTAACTCATCTTCAATTTCAGTGTCTATATTTGTCTGTGAATTAATAATATATCAAATAAAAAGCTATAGTTGTAAATGATCAAAAAAATCCTTTAATTCGATCGTCTTACCACTTTTTCTGCTAAAAATGATTCTCTTTCAAGTCTTATCTTACGCCACTTTTCTTCGTCTTCGTCATCAGAGACATCCACCCAACCGTCTTTATCCTCTGATGGTTGGACATCTGTATTATCACCCTGTTTATCTGGAAAAAGAAGATTGATCGAATCACTGTCATTGACGTAAATTAATATAAAAAAATAAAGAATTTAGATTTTTTTGAATACCTATGTTTCTCCATCTGAATTTCCTCTCGCGTGTACTTTCACTAAACAAATCTCCCTCCTCGAATAACATTTCTTGAAGCATTCTCACTTCTCTTTTATCTTCGTCCAATATTTGTTTCATGTGTAGTTTTCCCAATTGATTTTTAACTTTTGTCTCATCAATTTCTTCATTGTCTCCATCTTCTAATTCCAATTTATCCAGATCTTGTTCATCTTCGTCCGCAGATACATCACAATCACTTTCACTAAGCTCAGCTTCTTCCTCCAAAAATTTTGCTGCATATTGTTTTATCTCTTTCTTTGGAATAATCACTTCGTTCTCCTCCGAGTCGTAATCTATAAATTTTTCATCATCTTCTTCTGCTTCGTCGTTGCTGCTTAATGCAGAACTGTTTTCATCTTCGTCATCGGATAAATTTAACTTCTTAACTTTTTTCTTCGGTCGTTTTTTAATTTCCTTTTCAACTGAGTCCTCTTCATCGGAAGACAAAACGCGTAACTTGTTCCAAAATGTTGTTTCGTTTTTTGATTGTTGCCTATCTTTCTTATCTATTTCGGTGTTTGAAGAGTCTTTTTCATCGGGTACCTGTATACTCTGAAATGTTCCACCTGTGATATTAACTGACTCTTTGTCATTATTTGATTGAGAATTAAATGTTCCTGAACACAATTCTAATAACTGCGATTCAGTCACATTAGATTCTTTCGCAAAATTGAGTTGCATATTATCTTCTGGAAATTTACCCGAAGAGATTTCCATGAGTTCCTCATCCAGTACAGCACTCTGATCAACAAATAACTTCTTTTGGAATATACCTCGTTTTATTTGAGATGATTCCGGAGTTTTTGTGAATTCTCTCAAAATGGGGTCAACAAGCGATAGTGCCTCATCTTCTGTTGTTTTCTCTTCTTCCAACTGTACATTTAATGCAGTTAATTGTGTTATAGGAGAAATGAAATCAAGATTGTTGCTTTTAGACTGTGGTGTTTGGTTCATTTGCCATTTTGAATCACTTTCTACATGTACTTCAGAAATTGGAGTATCTTCATGAGCGTTTAAGTCAGTGTTTCTCACACTTTTATTAAACAGATCATTTAACTTAACCTGAGAAGAAAATGTTGACTGTTCCATACTATTTTTATCATTTTCAACAATTGAAGATCTTGAATCATCATCTAAAGGTTTTACAATCCTCCTAAATGTTTGACATTTTTTAGGCGTATCATTGCTATCACAACTACTATTCTCATCTTCATTCTCCGAAACGGGTCTTTCAGATTTTTCATCTTCTCCCAAGCTTTCTTGTGCTTCATCTTCGTATTCGTCTTCGATATCATCGCTATCATTTATTTCATCTTCACTGACTTCGGCCTCATCTTCTACAAAAGCATTTTTTTTCCTTCTCTTTTTTTCTACTTTCATGTATACATCGTCCTCTTCTATTTCATCTTCTTCGCTTATATGAGGTTCTATATTTGGCGAATATGGTTCATTGAAATTATCTTCTTCATTTATGGATTCGTTCCATTCTATTTCTTGTTCTTTCATTTCCTGTTCTCTCTGTTTCCACTCCTCGTTGCGTTTTATTGCCATTCTACGTTTCAGCTCTTCTTTTAAGCGCATTAACTTCGCACCGGGTTTCTCCAATTTAGGATCTATATTTTCAATATACGGTAATCTGTACGGTAATGTTTCTTTAATGATCGATAGTCCACCATTTCGAGTTTCCTTTATTTGCGTCGTTGTAACTTTAGGTACACTTTTAATAGGCCGATCGGATTTAGAATGTTTTCGTACAAATCGATCTATCAAACCATCTATTCCTTTCTTAGTTGATGTAATATCATCTGTTAAGTCAATAACTTGACCTGGAATACCTCGCAATTTAGGTTTTAAATTTTCTATATTCTGTACATTTTTCTTTGTTGTATCTAATGAATCCAAATAATCCAACGGTGGAAAATCAAATTCATCATCTTCATCAAATTCATTTATAATTATTCCTGAAGATTCTTTTATCGTTTTTGCATTATCATTTAGAATTTCTAAACTGCATATACTTTCTTCTTTATTCTTACTTTGACTTGTAGCTTCTTGTAATAAATCATTTGATTTTTCACCTATAGTTATTTCTGCAATTTTTGATTCACCCTTATCCATTATATTACTAGATTCACAGTGTGTGTCTACTGTTAATGAATTAATTGCACCATTTTCTATTCCATTATTGATTATTGTCTCATTACATTCAATGTCTTTAATTTCAGTTGAAGTTCCATCTTTTTTTTCTACTATGTTTATACTATTTTGTTCTTCATTAGTTTCTGCAGTAAATAAATCATCCTCAAATAATTTTCGTGAAACATTGTCTCTTTTAACATCTTTGGTACTCTGAATGTTCATATCTTCTGTATTATTTTCTATAATCTCTTCTTCTGAATCAGAAGATTTATAAAATATTTCTGCTTCTTTCTCTTTTTCCTTCAAAATTTCACTGTTTGATAAAAAAATTTTCATTATGTTCAATGAAAGCCTAATAATATTTAATTTTTAATATCATGAAATTTGAAAATTACTCACTCAACAATACTGGAAAACTCTTTCAATTTAGATGCCACTGTAGGTACTGGAAAAGATGAAATTACTTTTCTCCTTTTTAAAAATTCTTGTATTGTTCTTTGTTTTGGATTATGATATGGTAATGAAATTTCTGTCTCGCGTATCAAACGCTGGGTTTCACTTTGTATTTGTTTCATAGCTTCTTCTTTAGAAGCTCTCAATGAAACCTAAAGTGTAACACTATTTTTACTAATTCTGATGTATGCTTAAATATATTTTAGAATAAAATTTCATATACAATTTAATCAATGAAACTTATTAACAACTTACTTTCCTCAGTTTTTCCTTAGGTTTAGAATTTTTCTTATTTTTATTCTGTACTTTAGGGTTTGGTTGTTCTTCATCTGATTCTTCTCTTTCTCCATCTGATTCTTTTTTTTCTTCATCCGATTCTGAATCTATTAGAGTCTGAAGCTTGCTCCTTACCTATGAAATATATAATCAAACAATTACTTAATAATTAAATTATATTTTTTTTATAATTATTACTCACACTGTTTGCAATCTCCTTCTCATTTGAAATTGTTTTTTTAGCATCACTAGCATGAACAATACTGGAAGTATCATCTGAATCGCTGTCAACAAGTTTCATAGTTCTGCTCTTATTTAAATTCTTTGTAGATACATCATCGAGTTCAGAATTAGACATTTCATCTTTTTCATCATCAACAAATTTTATCTGCTTGAACTTAGGGGTAAATAAATTTTCTTCTTCTGAGTCACTGTCTATTATCCTGAATAATCTGTTGCGAATATTATTGTTTTTAAGTTCGTCATCTTTTTGGTCAGATATATTTTTTTCTTTTATGCTTTTATTAATTATGTCAGTATCACTGTCAGAATTATTATCAATTTGACTTTTGGCTTTATCATCATTTTGCTTAGATTCACAATCTTTTTCTTTCATAGATTCATTTGATGTACTACAGGCATTATTCTTAGAATAATTAGCTTCATTTTTACATTCATTATTTTTCTGATCAAGCTCATTGTCTATTTCTTTTGAAGTCTTATTGAGTATATTTTCCTTTTCAGTATCAGAGTAAGTTTTCATTTCTGAGCATTTACTTTCCTGTCCTACAAAATTTCCTAATCCTTTAGCAAGTTCAGATTCTTTATATCCATACTGTACATCAGATTCATCGTTGCACACATTACTTGAATTGTTATTTTCATACATGGTTCAAAATTTCTAATTTCTCAACATATTCTTAAAGCTTTGCTTTGTTAATTTTTTGCTAATGACAATTTATTCAATTTTCCACGTTAAGTGACTATCATAAAATTACTAAATTGCAGTGACGATTTTTAAAAATTATTAAAAATTGTTTCTCTAAAAATATAATTACTTGTTGATTAATTAAAAATTAGTTTTGTTTGTCATAGGTACATATATCTAATCATTACACCGCAGAATATCACAGAACACAATTGCATACTAACTGGTTTTGGTTCTATCAATTTCAGTCAGTAAATTTGGCGCGAAAGCACTAAGCACGTGTCATGTTAGTTTCAGATGGCAGGGACATCGTTTTTTTGTTTCAGGGATTTTGCTTTTTGTACCAGTATCTTAATTTCTTTTTTGTTAATATTGCATATTGTAATTCGTTATTTTTTTTTAATAAAATCTTAAATAAATTAAATAAAATCAGTCGTGCTTAGAAAATATCTTATGTATGTAATTAAAATTTGAAAAAATCATGTACATCCCTGAATTCACCATATATCGTCTAGGAAATTATTTCAATGTTGTCAATTTGTTAGAGTGTTTGGGAAATGTCTCGGGAGAGCATTTAAATACCTCTCAAGGTTTCGCAGGTCTATGGTTGACTATAGTTGATCGATAGAATAAATTGTTGACGTATTTTTATGATAGCTGATAGCTTGTAACTACGTCACAACCGCAGTTGAAGAAAACATTGTATCTGTAGGTTGTCTAAGTTATTTACCCTACATCTGTAACAGTAACGAAACTGTTGTCTGAGATATCCTTTAAGATCTTTATTTATTTTCAGACATGGTTACGATGGGCGAACCCCTCACTTTAGCGAATGGTAAATTTTTTCATGCATAGTTGTTTAAATAAATATATATCTATAAATTTGCATATTTATTTAAATAATATGTAATTATATAGCAGATAAAAACTGAATACATCAGTTTTATCAAATTTTAATATCCTTGATGAAATTCACGTTAGAATATAAAGTTATAAAATTGACTTTAAATTTTTTATATTCATTTGCAGATGTTAAACGATCTATTGAGTTACTAGACAAATTACAAAAAGGTAATTGATTAAGCATATCTTAGTAACAAAGAATAAAAGATAAGAGCACTTTATGTCATGTATTGCAAGAATTACTTTATTTGTGTAAGTCCTTATATTGGTTATTCATAATGTTTTATGATTTAACTTACTTTTTCATATAAATAATGTATGTGATTTTATTTTATAATAAATGCTCACTAGTTACAATTTTGTTATGTACGTATATGTTATAAACTTTTTTAGGTGGCGAGGTACCTGCAACAAAATTAGCTGCCTTACAAAAAGTTTTGCAAAGTGATTTCCTCAGTGCTGTCCGTGAAGTATATGAACATGTATACGAAACTGTGGATATTCAAGTATGATATATTTAGCAAATAGCGGCTATATATGTGGTTAGCAATTTTTCTTCTGAAGATTATAAATATGGTATTGATGTTAATAATTGTAGGGATCTCAGGATGTTCGTGCGTCAGCCACAGCAAAAGCGACAGTTGCTGCTTTTGCAGCAAGCGAGGGTCATGCACATCCGCGAGTAGTGGAATTACCAAAAACCGAGGAAGGCCTTGGTTTTAATGTAATGGGAGGTAAAGAGCAAAATTCGCCAATTTATATTTCACGAATTATTCCCGGTGGTGTGGCCGACCGTCATGGTGGCTTAAAACGCGGGGATCAGCTTCTTTCGGTCAATGGAGTGGTTCGTATCGTTCTATAATTTGTTTTATACTTTTGTATAGTTCTGCAAATATTTAATTTTCAATATTAAATGTACATTTCTTTTTCAGTGCGTGGAAGGAGAAAACCACGAAAAAGCAGTCGAACTGTTAAAACAGGCACAGAATTCTGTGAAACTAGTCGTGCGATATACTCCACGTGTTTTAGAGGAAATGGAATTACGATTTGACAAACAAAGGGCTGCTCGCAGGCGCCAACACATGCAATAAAAGTAAAGATTGTTACCATTTTTTTCAATAAACAAATCACATACATATTGATATCATTTAAATATTTACTTCATTATTCATGCATTATGAAATCAAACAATGACTTCTGCAACATTTATGAGACTTAATTTTAATAATACTTTATAATTAATGTAACTATTGCAATTTTCTGTGTTCTAAAGATATTGTGTATAAATGTTATATAGTTTTAAGAAATAAACTTGAAAAACCTTGTTCTCTTTTTATTTATTTGTTACGAAGTATTTTAGTAACAGTTACATATTTTTTTTTTTACATATAAAATATTCATTTTTTATATTATAATTTTAAAAATTTAAAAGATATCGAGCAACTACTGCAAAATAAATAAAGCTATTAATTTTCTGTAATATTTTGCATACTGTGTGGTATTATACATAATAAAAATAGTGAATATATTAAAAATATAGGAAATATAGAAGTATAATTTTATATCTTCCACAAATTGTAATGTTATGTATTGCAAAGTCAGCATATCTGATGTTTTATGTAAGTGACTACGAATATTGATTAACAAAAAAGCTAGTAACTTACTTTTGCAATAGATTACGGACATGTGCATATCTTTCAGAATTGATTATATTTTGCATATACTATATTTGTGATAATGCACAGTAGAGCTGCAACTTTACGGTATCTACCATACGTGTCTAATAATCTGAAAAACAGTGATTGTGATGTAAAAATAAATGGACTTTAATCTAGTTTAAATTTTGCTGTTTCATTACGAAGAAAAACATTTATAAGTGCAGGTCGACACTCAGATTCGTCATTTTCTGATTTACTTCAATAATTTCACGCTGACATAATGAAGCCAGAATTACGTTTCGTCGATCGCGTAGTTATAGTAACCGGAGCTGGAGCAGGTAATTATCGTTATTATTAATGCAATTTCTGCAGGTTAGTTTACAATTTAATTTAATTATATTTTAATTCATTTTTAGGTTTGGGCCGTGCTTATGCCTTGCTTTTTGCTTCAAGAGGTGCAAGTGTTGTCGTAAATGATCTAGGAGGAAGCAGACACGGTGATGGAAACAGTTCTAAAGTTGCTGATGCAGTTGTCAACGAAATTAGGAAAAATGGTAATTCGATACGTAAATTTGTTTCATCTACCGAATAATACGAATTTTTGTGTATTGTAAGCAACACCTAGCATTTTGTGTCTTTAAACTCTCCGAAAATGTATATATGTTTGAAATCTAGTTACGAATATTTACTTTACATAAATGTTTCAATTCATAAATAGGTGGAAAGGCAGTGGCCAATTATGACTCTGTTCTTGATGGTGCAAAAATTGTCAAAACAGCTATCGGTGCATTTGGACGCATAGATGTAATTGTCAATAATGCTGGAATTTTAAGAGATAAATCTTTTTCTAAAATGTCAGAGACTGATTGGGGTATGTGTGATATTATTGCTTAAATTTCTATTCTTACAGATTAAAAACACAACTGTTTATATTTAATTTTAGATTTAGTGCAAAATGTTCATCTAAAAGGTGCATTTAAAATCACTCAAGCTGCTTGGCCTTATTTTGTTAAACAAAAATATGGCAGGATAATCGTGACAGCGAGCAACAGTGGCTTGTATGGAAACTTTGGCCAAGTGAATTACAGTGCAGCAAAAATGGGTCTTATTGGCTTAGCTAATACATTAGCTATTGAAGGCCAAAGCAAGAACATACATACAAATATAATAATACCAACAGCTGCTTCTCGTTTAACAGAAGATGTTTTACCACCAGGTAAAAATAATATTTAATAAAACATTTACATTACATTACATTTGTGTGTATCAATCTTATTCTTGCGCTTTTTTTTAGAAATTTTTGAGCAGTTAAAACCTGAATTAATAGCTCCCGTAGTTGTTTGGTTGTGTCATGAAAAATGTATGGAAAATGGCTCTATTATTGAATCTGCATTAGGCTGGGCAGGAAAATGTAAGCGTAGAAAAAATTATACAGATTGTGGAAAGAGTAAACTGTACTTTAGTAACTGTAAATGAATTAATACATTAATTAATTTTTAGGTCATGTAATTCGTTCATCAGGATCAGTATTAAGACCAAATTTGTCAAGCAATGTCACTCCCGAAGATGTCGAAGAAAGATGGTCAGCTATTACCGATATGTCTACTGCTAAACATTTTGATTCTATCGCAGTACGTATTGTTTTTTATTGTATAAAAAATTTGTTTTTTTTAAATTATTTTTTATAATATTTTTACATTGCCACATTTTACAGGAAGTAACAGGAGAATTTTTGGTTACTATTGATGCAATGAAATCTGGAAATTTTGACCCACAGGTAATTAAAACAATTGTTTTGTAATTTGAAATTAAATATGAGTTTTTTTTTTCTTAGAATAGTGTCATCGTCAAACGTTCTTACAATGAGCGGGACATTATATTATATGCGTTAGGAGGTATAATTATTTTTTAATATTATTATTTCAATTATATTCTATTTAATTATTTTAATTGTAAATTATAATTATAAAATTAAAATTTTAGTTGGTGCTTCTGTTCAAATACCAACTGATTTCCGTTACTTATATGAAAATGATAGCAATTTTGCTGTATTGCCTACATTCCTTAGTACATATAGTTCTTTATTCATTGATCTGACCATACTGGAAAAATCGCTACCAAGTGGTGAACTAAATCCAATGAAGGTAATTTACTTAATTAACATTGTTTATAATAGTAGTTTATTATACTAATTTATTATAATTTTAGATATTGCACGGAGAGCAATATGTGGAAATTTATAAAGAATTACCAACGGAAGCTACAATCGAGACACGTATGCAAGTTGTGGATGTACTAGATAAGGGATCGGGTGCTGTATTTGTAGTACAAAGTATGTGAATTCGTCATTTTCACAAATAGTATTATTTTGTTTTGTACAAAATAAAATGAACGTAGTTTGATTTATTTTTATAGATGAAACGTTTGATACCAGCAATGGAGATAAATTATGCACAACACAAATGATATTATTCGTAGTGGGAGCTGGAGGTTTTCAAGGAAAGCGATCATCTTCAAAAATCATACCAACTGCCGAAGCACCTAATCGACAGCCAGATGCATCAGTTACTCAACAAACAAGTCATGATCAGGTAAAAAGTGATTACGGTCTTTAATGAATAGCCAGATGCATTGATAACAAACAAATCACGATAATTAATAATAATAAAAAGTAATTATACTATAAACATTAATTAGTTATAAAAAAGTAAATATACATTTTGTAGGCTGCATTATACAGATTAAGTGGTGATAAAAATCCTTTGCATATCGATCCAAACGTAGCAATGATAGCAGGTTTCAAACAACCAATTCTACATGGATTATGTTCTCTTGGTTTTTCTGTCCGTCATGTTCTTCAAACTTATGCAAATGGTGATCCAAGCTTTTTTAAGGCCGTAAAGGTTAATATTTGTTAATTTATTTAATGAATATACATTATGTTATGAATATAAATTAATATCCTTAATACATATTGCAGGCACGTTTTGCGAAACCAGTAATTCCAGGGCAATCACTGCAAACAAATATGTGGCAAGAAGGAAATAGAATACATTTTCAAACATCTACTGTAGAAGAGAATCTACCAGTTATAACAGGTAAGTTGCATTTTTGTTTTGCAATATAATTATTAAATACATATATACAGAATGTTCTACATTATCGTTTGAATCTTTTGATTGCAGGTGGTTATGTTGATTTAAAACGCACGATGCCTACGCAATTGACAGTAAATCGTTTATCTGGCAGCAATCCTATGGAAAGTGATGCAGTGTTTGCGACAATTGGTGAATACGTGAAAGCAAATCCGGAACAGGCAAAGAAAATCAATGGAGTATTTCTTTATCACATTTTGATGAAAGGGGAACCTCAAGCAACATGGAGTAAGTATACTCATTTGTATTAATTAATATTTTCTGAATTTTATTTTTGACTGTTTTTTTATTTTCCTAAAGCTTTAGATTTGAGAAAAGGCGAAGTATATAAAGGAGGACTAAAATCAGGAAAACCTGATGCAACATTAACTCTTGAGAATGAAGACATGATTCAAATAGTAAATATTCCTTTCTTTGATATATTAAGTTAAATATTTCATAAACGATTCATAAGACAGTTATTGATCTTACATTTACTTTTTAAGTAATACATTTAATATATGAATTTGTTTACAGGCTTTGGGTAAATTAAATCCACAAACGGCGTTCATGCAAGGAAAGTTAAAAGTCGCTGGAAATCTCATGCTTATACAAAAGTTAGCTACACTCATGGAAGCAAGTAGATCAAAATTGTAATATTGATGCATGATTAGCATTTTGTTGAAATATATAATTACCTATGTTAATTTTTATAATATTTTTTATTCACTTTGGAGGTGAGTTGTATGGTTAGGGATAAAATACAACATAAATATGAATACAGTGTGTGCTGCAAATATGGAAATATATCTGTATATTCACAGTTGTAATAAATTCAAATTTTATATTGTTTCTAATTCTGATTATTTTCATTATTAATAACCTAGAGAGAAATATTCTACACATTATATGAAAATTTGCATAATTAGTTTTATTATTTCAATAACAAGATTTAATAATTATAAATTTTATCATTATCACACACATAATTTCAGACTTTTATACAAAACATAAATATAAAGATATCAATCTTCCATTAGTATTCTATTTGTACTTTCGCCGAATTAAGTTATCCTACTACTATAATTAAATCGTGAGTTAAAATACGTTCGATCTATTTATCAAAATTGTTTATTTTTCCTATCAGTCTTTGTTTTATCAAATTTATAAAATCTGCGTTAGTGTTCTTATCGAGACCTTCGCTTCTGATTGGCTTCTTCGAAAATTTTTTAACATCTTTTTTCTTTTTACCATTTGTTCGGCATTTAGGTTTCTTCATGTCTGCAGTTGGATTTGGATCCATTGCTATATCGTTTGGAGATTGCGGCAGCCTTTCTGGTGATTCATTACTTTCGAAAAACGTTTTTACAGTATCCTGAGAAATACATGCCTCTTGCGACGAATCAGATTCTGTATCAAGTATCTTATCATTTCTTTCAGACTCGAGATTTCTTACAATGAACTCCGTGCTACGAGCCATTGCAACATTTTCATCAGATGTGTCTAGACATACAGTGTCTTTGTTAGCAATCCTTCCTCCATGCAAGAACGCGGATACATTTTTTCGCCGCCACATTTTCGACGTCCGCGGGATGAACTGCTTGCATTTCCCTTCAAACGAGAACTCCTTCATGTCGACGTCCTTGATCTCTCCCTTCAGGAACTGCAAATACCTTCTCAAGGAAGTGAAAAACTGCAGTTTGTCTATCATTCTCGGAAAGTTCGCACAACGGGCACTGCTCGACGGTGTGACCCAAATCGCGGTCTCGCCAACTTTTTCTGATTGGAGCCCAAAGTTGAAGTTACCCGTTCTACTAGCAAATACCTCGTAAATGCATTTACCATTGAAGACGGCGATCCTTGGCTTGTAAAGCCTCAATTTCTCTTCGACAACCTTAGAACCCTCTTTGATCTCTGTACGTTTCAAGTCGGCCGAGGACCTCGTGGCTCGGGCCACTATGTTCGTCAAACCGATTCCAAACTGCAGAAGTTTGTTATCCTCCTCGTAACTCAGGCATCGGGGTGTTAATCCTGACTCATGCAAAAGTTTGTAAAAATGGTTACCTGGACCGGCGTAATACCTGCCACGATGGGCTGCCATCAGACCCGGATTTATACCGACGAAGACCACATCCAGATTCATTTCCAAGTAGTCCGGCAGAGTGTATTTTTGCACCTCCTCCTCCGTAAGTCCGTCAAATCGGTCGATCTTCTTTCGTTGCCTGTCGACCTTCTCTATCGCTGCTTTTTTCAATTTTCTTAACGAGAGCGAGGACATCGCTCTGTACAGAATTGTTACCATTAAAAACATGTATTAATTTAGTTTTGAAATGTCGATGGCACGTGCAGAGTTTTCAAACTTATCGCTGAGACTTTCATTGTTTTGAATTGACATAGGTTAGGTATCCGCCTGTCCTGGTAAAAAATTTCAGATTTTAGATATATTCGCTGTTATTTGATTTAACAAAACGACAAGTATTTCTTGATATATAAATTACACATAGTGCGTGAGGTTAGATTTCTTGTTAACTTAAGTTTCTTTCTAAATCCTGTCTTTGTTTACTTGTTATTTAAAGTCGGTTGAAGGATCAGGACCGACCACTCTGTGATTAGGGAAGATGATTGCATCATAAGTTAATTAACTTCAACTAAACGTTTATTAATAAAATACAAAGTTGCATAAATGTCGAAATTTTATAATTCCTTTTTAAATACATGGCTAGTAGCTTAATTTAATTAAATGTACGTACATTTTTATATAAATGTTCTCAGATTTGAATGCTATGAAAAAGAATTAGTGCAATTGAGGCTTCACTCTTGTACTAATACAATCGCGAAAGATTGCAAATGAATCCTGCTAATTAGTATTTTTTTCAAATTAAAATTCGATCGATTCACGGACCCTAAAATGCTAGAGCCGCGTAGCGGCAGAATGGCGGAACTAATTCCTATTGTTGTCCTTGTCGCACACTGTTGCTCTCTTTGTCGTCGCGAAATATATATTTGTCTTTATCGCACACTGTCACTCTCCTTGTCTACCGACTGTGCTGCCATCTAAGCGACGACGATCAAAATTAAAAGGTCAAATAGTAAATTCCGACAGATGGCAGCACACGTCTCGTTCAGCTTCGTGACTCTAGATATAACAGATAGATGGCAGTGCGTGTCGTGTCGGTAAACAAGGAACGCGATAGTGTGCGAGGAGGATAGATATACGTTGCGTGATAGACGAAGAGCACAGCAGCGTGCGAGAAGGATAGATATACGTTGCGTGATAGACGAAGAGCGCAGCAGTGTGCGAGAAGGATAGATATACGTTGCGTGATAGACGAAGAGCGCAGCAGTGTGCGAGGAGGATAGATATACGTTACGTGATAGACGAAGAGCGCAGCAGTGTGCGAGAAGGATAGATATACGTTGCGTGATAGACGAAGAGCGCAGCAGTGTGCGAGGAGGATAGATATACGTTACGTGATAGACGAAGAGCGCAGCAGTGTGCGAGAAGGATAGATATACGTTGCGTGATAGACGAAGAGCGCAGCAGTGTGCGAGGAGGATAGATATACGTTACGTGATAGACGAAGAGCGCAGCAGTGTGCGAGAAGGATAGATATACGTTGCGTGATAGACAAGGAGCGCAGCAGTGTGCGAGAAGAACAGCGATAGCGATTAGTTCCGCCATTCTGCCGCTACGCGGCGCTAGTATTTTGGGGTCCGTGAATGGACCGAATTTTTTATTTGCAAAAAACATTAATTAAGGGGATTCATTCTCGAACTCTTGCGATCGTATATTCTATTAATTAGAATCTTCGATTTCCTTCTGCATTGCATTCGATCTAAAACCATGTGTAAGCACGTACAAGGAAATTCTATCGAAGTAGATCGAGAGAATCATGGGATATTCGAAAATTTGTAACTTGGGAAAATTTAGTTTTAATGCCGCGCGATCATGTCATTCTGAATTGTCGCAAATAACGGGGATTTTTGCGAGAACGCGTGACTTTGGTCAGAAATGATTTCACGCAAAAATTAAACCGACAATACTACAGGATTATAGGAATATTGAGCAGAGAGCGACGTTCTTAAATTGCAATTTTAATTGCAGATTATCGTTGTTTGAAGAAGAGTCGACGCGACGTGCACGTTCGTAGGAAATGCATTTAGATTACAACTGATATTCGTGATACAGTATTTACGATCGTGTTCAATCAATGCGTTGGTTTATCTAAACTCAGCAACCGCTGCGTATCCTATATCTGCACGTATAATCGGATGTAAGGTATGTGCATAATGCGACATATCTGCAGAGGTACAGATAATATGTATGTAGGTACACACTGCCTCGGAAACATATATTCTTCACAATTTCTTACCGAATTCTGTATGCACATAACTGGGCTAACACGTAGCTTTAGACAGAGGCTAGGAAAGAAAAGAAGAAGAAGAAGAAGAAGAAGAAGAAGAAGAAGAAGAAGAAGAAAACTGGAAACTTTATGACAGAGGGAAGAAGGGACAAGAAATTGGTTTCACATTTTCACGCGGTGCGCGAATGTTTGTACCGAAGGTGCGTAGGTGTTTTAGAGATTTGAAAGTCGACTCCAATTTTTCAAATAGAATCCAAGAGTTCTGGTAGGAAAATACCATAGGTGAGTTAAGACGTCAAATTTTTCGAAAGGAAGCAAAAAATGATTATTTATTTAAGTTTGGGAATAACTTTGTTCCTTTTAGATTTTCCCTCAAGTCATTTTAATATACTATTTCTATTTTCAAATAGAACGTACGTGTCAGAGTATGGTATACGGATTGAAATTTCTTTTTACAAGCACACCTGTAGTGTGTTTTACTTTTCAATCATACCTTCCAAAGGTCATTTCAAGCTGAAATTTGTAAAATTGCGACAGACGTGTTGCGTGTCTACGTATTTATACAAACATTCGAATGAAAAACGTGATACTTTAGGCTGCAGTAATTTCCTTTTATCGATAGACGGAGCGTGCAAAATTCATTCGTATTTACGAGCCAAGGATTTTGGAACAGCAACGCGTAATTTATTAACGATCCTCCCTTATCAATAATTTCTTACATTCGATTTTTACGAAATTGGATTCGCAAATATCCCGTCCGTTTTATTCCGGTTAATGTTTTAAGACGATTAAGTTCATAGGTAAAATCCAAAAATTCGTAATCCGTTTTACAATATCCGATGTGCGTGCACGTCGTGAATTATGCGCGCGTTATTATCGCAGGGAAGATAGTCGCGATTCTTTCTCCCTAAAACGTCGAAGGCACGCGTAACGTGTAATTGCGATTCTATACGCACGATATTTCGATTGAGACGAATGAAAATGGTGTAATTTCGATTTCGAGCGGACTAAAAATGGTGACACGGGTGTGTATTATTCCTTCGCTCGAGGTTCTCGCTTTTTCCAATTATTCTCGCCGCGCAGCGAATGGACACATTTTGCAAAAGGGAAACGAGCACGAGATATCGCGGGCGATCACGGCGCAGCACATAATTAGGCGGGATATTTGCACAGCGTATCTGCTAATCTAGCTGCCGGAACTCGCGATCGCGTCCAAATCGTGTTGGTCTTCCGGTCTGGCGAACATGGTCGACACTCGAACGCAACACACCTTACACACCGCGTTGCACAGCCACCAGCGATCCACGATATCTTCTTTCATCGATAAGTACCGTGTAATTTACCGTCGTTCTTTCGCGTGATCCTCCACGGCGAGCACTGTTCTCGCGCAACCGTGAATTGTTATTCGCCCCTTTGTTTCCCGGTGCTAATCTCAATCCCTCTGGTATCTACGCCGAAGCATCTACGCGATGTAATTTTGTTCTTTAGACTCGCGACAGCGGGCGAACGTCGCTTATATAAGAAAAAAAAAAAAAATTCATTTTCAGGAGTACGACGTCTTTTTTTTTCCCTCTTTCCTTTTAAGGCAGACAAGGCCTCCCTTTCTTTTGAAAAGCCTCTTTTGAAAAAGGAAGACGTTTCGCGAACTGACTTTCGCCAGGCTGCACGACGTGGATGTGTATCTGGCTTTTTAATGGAAAGGCACGTGACGTACGTATATCTACGTTCGTGGTATCGCGTTCGTGTACGCGATATTGTGTTGCCCGGGAGTTATATGTGAAAAGATTGAATCTTGCTAGAGGTACGTACACTGTGCGTAGTTAGATTCTTTTACCTTGATTAAGAAAACCTCTTTTTTGGCACGACCTAGCTATAAATAGGTAGAGCTACGCTATGCGGAGCGTCGTAAAATTTTAGAGGCGAGCCGTGTGCTTTCCGCGGAGATAAATCCGTATTCGGATTGTTGAAAGTGTACTGGCTTTCACGCGTAATTTCGGTGCAAATGAAATCAGACGAGAATGAAATTTAATTTGGAACAGAATGGCCAAAATGACTGATAGTGAAGAATGACTGACGACGAAGCGTACGTACGTACAATATATCGATAAAACTCTGGGAGAAGAACAGCCGCAAAGGGACTGTATCTTGGTTGTTATACATTTTCCTGGGGAAAGATCTGATAAGAAAAACGACGAGTGGAAAGTCGATAGTCGAAGAGGGTAGGATAGTAGAAGAGAAAATGGTTGAAAGTACGGGGATTCGCGCAGGCCACGTGTATAATAATACCTGGCTTGTACGAGCCTGGCTTGAAAGAAGTTGCGGAGAAAAGACAGGAAGCGCAAAGAAAAATTAGAAAAGGAAAAAGTCGGATAAGGGGAACGGAATGTTGCCAATAGGATAGACAGAGCCTGACACGTCATAACTCTCTAGTCAGTTCTAGGTGAAAATTGATGAAACTTTTACGAAGGATTAACAAAAATTACTTATCTTTCACCGCTCGGTGAATCTCGACTAATTAACCTAACCCAACGAAAATTTTGTTTAAAAACCCCTCGGACATACTTTACAAGTGTTCCTCTCTATTCGACAAAACGCCGTTAATCAGAGCGACAATCCTCGATCGACCTGCCAGTAATCGTTAACCGCGTACTGAATAATGAAATATCAAGCAAACCATCGGAGCTAGCTCTCGATATTTTCGTTTCTTCTCGTCACAATGGCCGGGTAATTAGCACAGTTGTAGAAGTGTGTAACGGATCGGGATCCGTTGTTTCACAGATCCGCGAGCGCGCCCGGCAACTCGAAACTCGATTTGCGAGCTGTTTAATTTTCACTGGTTATTCATTAGCCAGTTACCAACTCGTTATTACGGACCAGTGAATTATTGCACGCGTATACAGGCTTGCGGGGCATACGCGTTCGTCGCGGTGCCGCCGGTTTCCGGCTCTCTTCACGCGCCGCGCCGCAAACGAGCAGATTCTGGCGCGCGCTTGCCGAACGGTGTAAACGCCCGGCGAAGACGTAACGATTATGGGAAAAATCGACGAATTCGCGGTTGCCTCGGTGAACCCTCGGCGAAATCCTATTATCGCAACGAGCCGCTGAATCTATTACCCTTGTCCACGCAAGTTTCTCTTTCTCCCTTTTTTCCGATGGACCGTTGACAACGTTGGTTTCTCTTCTGATACATTTTATTAACATGTTGTACATTTGTAACATACATTTTATTAACAATATACAAATATACATTTTATTTAAATGTTACATATGTCATATGTTGTATTATAACATTATTACATTATAACACAAATATATATATCATATATTATATTTATTATATATTATACTATATTTATTTGCATTATATTTATAACACAGATATATATATATATATATATCATATGTTATATTTATTATATATTATACTAAATTTATTTATATTATATTTATAACACAAATATATATATATATATATCATATGTTATATTTATTATATATTATATTATGTATATTATATATTATATATTATTATGTCATATTTATTTATATTATATTTATAACACAAA